TAATTCCCGATGATTTTGTTAACTATTTTATTCGGGAATTACCGACAATTGGAAGCCTTACTAATTTCTGAACAAATTTTCAGGTTCACTAAAAGATTAATATGGATTCAAAAATAGATCTACATAAATCTATCTGACAATTAAGTAAATTATTACTAAACGATGGTCTAATTCACATCACCGTTTGATAACACTTAAATTTTGTGAACCTTTAAACCTTAATACCAATAACCGATATTGACATAATAGTATACATTATCACACATAAACATGATAGCTTAATATATATTAAATTTAGAACATAGTGACTAAAATAATTGATAGTAATATTAGATTAATAATGTATTAAATCTACAGTTTATGTATTAAAAGGATTATTAAGGGCATATAAAAATAATATAAATAACTTTGTAGATAGTATTTTGTAAAATGACGACAAAATGTATTTGACAGGACATATAAAAATATATTAAACTTGATACAAAGAATACAAATATTCTGGAACATTTGTATCAACTGATTATGCCAAAAATGGGTTTAATCTGCCATTCAAATACCGATAGAGTTGTCATTTGTCATCATAATCTAGGGTAAATCATGTATTTATCAAAAATACATCCGCATAACACATCGGCGTTTTTACTCCATAGGATATCACAGATAGTAGTTATATAATGCATCAAATATGTATTGTTGTCAACCTTACAGTTTGTATATAAATAGGAGACAAATAAAATAATTGACATAAAGTTGACTTATTATTTACAACAATGTATAACCCAATAGTTTGGGTAATATGTATTTGTGTGATAGCAGTGCCGGAGTGGGTGTCGTGTAAAAAGTATGAACCAAACTGGGAATCGTTGGACAGTCGACCGCTGCCCGAGTGGTACGACTCGAGCAAAATCGGGGTTTTCCTTCATTGGGGCGTATTTTCTGTGCCCTCTTTTATCAACGCTTGGTTTCCGTAAGTATTATACAATTTAATGAAAAACTATTAACAATTAATTGTCTGCATAACTTATAAACTACATCAATTTTTATTATATTTATTAGTTTAAAATTTAAAGTTATTTTCCATATAATATTATTTTATAAATATACACACAGTTATAGCTGGAAAGTGGACCATGGTCAAGCTTACATAGATTTCATGGCCAAAAACTACAAGACTAATTTCACCTATGCCGATTTTGCCGCCCAATTTACTGCCGAGTTTTACGATCCCGACCATTGGGCCGATATATTTAAGTAAATATTTCGTAATTTAATTATTAAACAAAATACCCAGATATCAACAGTAAATTATTTGATCGTGATCTAATTGTATCTAACCTTAGAGCATCTGGCGCTAAATACGTAGTGTTGACCACTAAACACCACGAGGGCTACACTTTGTGGCCATCAAAGTACTCGTCCAACTGGAACGCTATGGATGTGGGCCCTAGTAGAGACCTCGTTGGTTTGTACCTTTTATTATTCTCCCTTCAATAATTAGTAAATAATTAAATTAAAATATTTATTTTGTATTTATATTGTGTCCAGGTGATTTAGCGACTGCGCTGCGCAAACAGGACCTAAAGTTTGGTGCTTATCACTCGTGGATGGAATGGTTACACCCCCTGTATATGGAGGACAAGGCCAATAAATTTAAGACACGAACATTTGTGACGGTAAGTTTGATTTCAAATCAATACATAATAATTATAGTTATTTTTATATTTCCGATTATTAGACAAAATCCCGACCCGAGAGGGAAGAGTTGATAACCCGCTATAAACCGGACCTCTTGTGGTCGGACGGCGAATACGAGTCGCCCGAAGAGTACTGGAATAGTACCGACTTTTTGGCCTGGCTTTACAACGACAGGTGAGTTTATATTGTTATTTCTTACCTAGTTTGCTTATATTTATAAACCTTCACTTACCTATTTTTATCATTTTCCCCGAATTCAGTCCCGTTAAAGACACTATTGTGACAAATGATAGATGGGGTTAGTATTTGATTACGTAAACTATAAATATAAATTTTAAATAGTTTTCTAATGAATTTATTATAACATGCACCCATGGTAGGTTTAGGCACCAATTGTAAGCATGGTGGCTATTGGAGTTGCAACGACAAATATAACCCTGGTGTTGTGCAGCCTCATAAATGGGAAAACGCTATGACAATCGACAGTCACGCCTGGGCTTATAGACGTGAAGCAGTGTTCGCCGATTTTCTAACCCCCAAACAGATTATGCTAACTCTTATGCAAACTGTCAGGTAAATATATATTTTATTTATTAAGTACAAATATGTATGGTCTGGAATTCATTTTGGGGCTGTCAACACAAACACGTTATTTTGTTTTACATTTTCATTTTTGTTATTGAAAATGGATAGTTATTTATAAAGTTTATAATTAATCATATTTCTAATTAATATTGTTAATTGATAAGAGATCATGTTGACAATAATGCAAGTTGTAATATAGGCATCATTAGATTATTATTTAAATGTTATAAATTAATTTATATTTTATATTGGATTTTATTGTATTTATTATATATAATTAAAATTGGTCCTATTTTTACATATTGGGATGCACTATAATTTTACCATATTTACTATAATATGAAATAATAATACTTAATTAAAACATTTTGTTTGACAATTTTACATTAACATGATGTTATTTTTAGATATTTTAGATACCTAGCCGATTGCTAATTTAGATCTAACCTGTCTAATCTAATCTTGTATAACGTTTATTACTTAATTTATAAATAATATATTTTTATAATTTAATCACATTATACATATTCTGTGGCCCATCAATAGTTGTGGTGGAAATCTATTGATAAATGCCGGGCCCACACATGACGGCAGGATTACCCCCATCTTCGAGGAAAGACTCAGACAAATGGGTTCGTGGCTTAAGAGGAATGGAGAGGCTATATATGGCTCGAAGCCATGGGTCCATCAAAACGATACCATCACTCATGATGTCTGGTATGAAATATTAATTACTTTTTAATTTAATTGTTATCATTTATCTAAAAAATTAAAATTTAATTTGAATTATAAATAGGTATACGACTAATAAGGGATACGTTTACGCGTCGGTACATAACTGGCCCACAACTGGACGGGTAGTGTTGGGTGCGCTCAAGTATAGCACTGTTAAATCCGTCCAACTGTTGGATCTTAAGGATAGTCTGACGTTCACTGAAGTGAAGACCAGCGGATCAACTGAAGTGACTTTCCCTGTACTCAATCCGGACAGTGATATTCAATGGGCGTATGTCTTGAAGATTACCACAAAATAACTGCTTAATAATTTTTAATATGTTTTAAGTATTCAATTAAATCTATAATTATATATTGATTTAAATAAATGCGTGTTTAAATAAGTTTATAATTAAATTAATTATTTTTAATAAAGTTAGAAATACTGTTGATTATAAATACAAATTTTAATTTATAATTAGTTTTGAATTCAATCCCGAAAAGTCCAAAAAATTAATATTTTAACTGCTTTTTTATTATTAACTTTATATTATTAGAAATTGCAATTGACAAATAAAAGTTTAACTATAAAACATATAAAATTTTTAGCTAAACAAATATAATGTGTAAGTATATATTTATTTACATATACTTATATAAATTTTAATTTTTATATATTATTAAATATAATTAAGATTATAATATAATTAAAAATATGATATTTATTATTTTTAATGTTGAAATAAGTTATCACTTATCTTGTATGCAAACTGTAAAGTTTGAAAATTTTTGCAATAATTAGATATAATCATAAGTATAAATTGTATTCGTGGAGTTTGCAACAACAGCTAAATACACTTAAATAGCATCATGATATTTTTTAAAACGGCCTTGTGGCATAATTTTTTGCCGTTTGCCAACAAATACTATGCTATTTATGTGTACTCATTATAATTGTTATATGCATTATCTGTTGTCTATAAATTATAAACTATAATATAGTTATTGCAATCATACAAACTATAATATTAGTTTTTGTGAACATAGTTTGTATAATTATTATATTTTGTTCAATAATTATACAATATTAAACAATAATTTATATTTGGTTAAATGTGAGATTAATTTTGTTTATTGTATAAAACATTTAATGTGTTTTACAAATTCAATGAAATTTAAAATTTAATTTATTTTAAAAATTTTATTAACTTATTAAATAATGCGTTCTATTACAATTATTATTTTTAAATAATATAACCATATTTATCATTTACTTTGTATCGTTTATTTGAGTCATTGCTTACCCTCGTCAGTGGTCAGTTCTAACCCGTCGTCGATCACTGCCGGGCATTACTCGCGTGAATCTAATCCCCGAACACGCGTTCGAAGCCCTGATTGTG